GTCTCTTCGCAATCTCTCAGGGTTAGAGATGAAAATATTTCTCTCGTAATTTTCTCCAGTCATGATAGCAGGAAAAAAAATGATGTAAATGTTCAGCTGCGTTGAAGGAATGAAAGGGTCTCAGCTCTATGTCATCGTATTCCAGTGCATCCCACGTTAGGGCAGCTGATCTTTATTTGAAATTTGCATCCATATCAAATAGACTCTTTCGATTTTGGTTTTCTTGGCTTTTAATGAAAAGCCGAAAAAAATAAATATTTTATTAGAAAGTGATTTGCATTTTCTCGGTGAGCGACTGTTTGTCACGGGACGTGGGTGTGTGAGAAAAAAAAAAAAAAAAAACGTGGGTAGAGTACAGGTTGTTGAAAAGAAGGAGCATTTCGCGTAACGAATGCAACTCGCAAAGAATGGGTTTTGGTCCTTTTTGAAAAATCAATAAAATGACACAATTGATCAGGATTGAAACCAATCAAGAGCAGTCATTTTTTTTTTTTTAACTGAAATTTTTGAATTTTAGAGGCAGGGAACACGTTTTTTTTAGCAGGAAAAATAGTTCAACTGTTTAGATAACACTAGTTAAATCTTCTACCTCGTGTTGTACATCGATAGAGAAGTCAGACCCTGGCGGATTAGCATGAAGTCTTTTACTTAAACTGTAAGAAAGTAAGAAACACATATTTAATGATGTAAAATTGTTGCTTTTATTTAAGTTCGTCTTTTTAACAGAATGTATTTTTGTAAATATCGTTTGTAAATGAGTAAATAAATGATCATCAAGAGCAGTCAAGTAGGAATAAATGTAACCGTAAAGAACAGGGAAAGAACATTCCCCAGTTTACCTACAGGATCGTGTAGTAAGTTTAAATGATATTTTGCCTCGAAATCATCGTTAATGAAGGCACTGGCCTTAAGTGAGGGATATCCAGGTAAACAGTTGAGAAGAGTTTTTTTTTAAAGATAATTTATCAATTGGCTGAGTTGAGGAAACGAATTTTTTTCTTAACCATTTGTATAAGGCGTTATTTTCGAAATCGGGTCGTAACAATTTTTCTTTTTATGTCGAAGGCAAAACGGTATGAAATGCTCCACTTTTGATCTGTTATCGGTACGGAATCATTCCACATCACTCTGGACCAGTCAGAAGTAAAGCTAACGCTATTTACAATTTGGTTCCTCGCGAGACCCCTCTGCAATTTGGCTATTAGTTTTACCTCGAAAAAGTTTTCTTTTTCCTTGTCATACTTCTTTTGCTGATTAAAAGTTTCTTCACCTAGTTTTTTCTGTGAAAATTTATCAAAACCGTTTTGAACAATTTATGAACTTCTTGCGAGTACAGAACACTTTTCTCTTGACAGCTGACCGCTGACGAACAAGAACGACGTAGAATAAGAAGAGAAAGGAATAAAGTGGCCGCCTCTAAATGCCGCAAGAAAAGAAAGGAACACGTTAAAACATTAGTTGAGGTATCTGGGTACCGTATTTATTCGATCAATCGCCCCGGGTTCTCAGTCATAGGCTGTTCGCGTTTATTTTGCAACAAGATAATAAATAAAATTACACCGTGAAGATGTACCATAGACGGTAAATTTAGAGATTGTAAGCCGGTAAAGAAATAATAATCAATACTCCTTTTGTGCACTTAAGTTTTTTTTGGAACGGGTGGGGGTAGTCGCTAATTGGAAGTTGGGTACTTAATCGAATAAAGACGCTCTTATGAGGTAAAATTACGGCTTATGTCTCCTACTGCCAGAGCAGCACAACTCAGCTCCTTCCATATTTAGGAAGAGTTGGATCTCGATATGATAAAGACGCCCACAATCTCTTCTTAGAGGCAAGGGAAAGAACGAATACCTTTGAATTTTCTGGTATCAGAGGTCTTACAGAACTGCTAAATCGATTCCTCCATATAATTTGAAGTAGCCTTCTTGCAGTGTTGTTTTATTTGTTAGCTTGAAAACGAAAAGTAGCAGACATTGTGATGATATTTTTTCTTTAAGGCTTCTGAGGAGCTGGAGCATCAAAACAATGATCTTCAAGCGCAGATCAGCAAGTTACAAGCGGAAATAAAAAAACTGGAATTCATGTTGGATTCACACAGCTGCGCAAAATATTCCCACACTCCACAGGATGACCACGAACTTGGATTAAATGCCAATTTATCATGAAGGGAAAAACTGGTGACAGAGGACAAAATCAAGAGGAAGAATAAGTCAATATACCGATTCAAGATGAAGGGCTATTAATGACGTGCACATGCGTGGATGGAGCCACACGATGAGCCGCTGTACCGTGATAGTGTGGCGTGTGGTGCAATTTCACTTCAAGCGTATTATTTTCGCTGATACACGTGCGAAGAGCGTTTTTTTGAGTGAAATTTGGTTTTAGTTACGTATGTTAACATGCTGGCTGGTTTTATCAAAGCTATTTTGCAATTTATTTGCTTCCAACAAACTCGCAGTCAAAAGTAAATGGAAAAGAGAGGACGAAATAGATGGACATAAATTAAGATACATTGAAATACTTTGCAGAAAAAAAATAACTTTTAAGATGTTTTCTTAGAAGGCAGTTTACTATTTATGTAGCGTAAATCCTTTAAAAGTAGCGTTCGCAGTCTTTGCTTTTTGGCTAATTTGCTTTAGAACAAGATTAAAGTCTTTTACATCTTACAATACGGTAGCCTTTGAATTCATCTTTCGTAATAGTAATCAGAATGATTGGAGAGCAATCCATGAAGTGATACAGTTAACAACATTCATATTCCCTGAGCTTGAGGACTTGGGGTTTGCTTCCTCATCAAACTTATCCATAAAACTCAGGAGCCTTTTTTGGTAATTAATTCATTTATTTTTTTCATTTGTAATATTAATAAAGGCTGGCCCAGTTCAACTTAAAAGGTTGTTTTTCAAATGGGGGCCTGAACAAAAATGACAAGGCCGGACCACAACACCGGGATTTTCATTCCCCGTACTCTTTGCGGGAAGTGCGTGGGTTCTTTAACGTCCCTGGTAACCATTACAGAGAAGATGCAGGAGTTAGGGACTAGTGTTTATCGTCTTTATCCGAGACTGGACTAGAACTTCTAACCATTTTCAGCTGTTATAGCAAAGGTAGCACATTCTCCTCAGGGACTGGTTATTATTTCAGTATTTCCTGGGGAGGAGGCGGGGGATTTAGTCATGACCACAGAGCACTTACGCTTCCTCCCTTAAGAGCACTTACGTTTCCTCCCTTCAGAGTATACAGTGTTATTTTGATCTCCCAATTTTTGCAGTGGAAGATTTCATGATCCTTCCTCCCTCCCCTTCTCTTCCAGCCAAAAATTATGTTTCACTTTTGCATGTATCTTTTACTCTCATGCCCACCTTACTGAGAGGTGATTTAATTTCTGTCCCCAACTTGTCTTGGGTATAATTCCATCCACGCTTGCTGCTTGTTAATAACAGCAGCATAAAAAGAGAGAAAATATCACATCTAATTTTGGAAAAAAGAAATGGAGGGAAAAGTGACCCAAAAAAACTAACTGCTCAGAAATAAAAAAGAGAAAAGAAAAAAAGAAGATAAAAATGATGATAACAAAGGGAAAAATCGAAAAGACAGCAAAAAAAATGAAAAAAAAAAAAAGCGAACAGAATTTCCCGGGGAGGAGTTACTCGGCCCCTAAGCCAGTTAGAGAGTTACTCTCAACCCGCTCCATCTCAAACTCGGGCCCAGGCCAAATTGAGAACTATTCCTATTTTGTGATTCGAGCCCGCGACCTCTTTGCACTCGTTGAGCGCCCACGATTACCAATCGATCATCTGGAAACTCTGTGATTTCACACAATAAATTTTCGGTGTATAGAGTTTTTAAATACTGGGAAGGGGTGAGGAAGTTTTTTCTGACTGAGAGTGCAATTGACTTTTCAGACACAGATGAGGGGGAATGAATCAATCAAAGAACTGACAGGAGCGATATAAACAAGGATTATTAGCATATAGGACGGACTCGTTTGCTTGGGCTTGTTAAACACGACGATTCGGACACTTCTCAAAGAAGCTATCAGGTGTGTGCATTGGGACAATGTTACACGCCGAGTAGAGACAGGTTAAAACATCAATGAGCAGTAATTTGTGTTAATGAGGCACTTGCTGTGAAGAACCGTAAACTTACAGGTACTGATAGAAGGAAACACAAAGATGGGAAGGTGATTGCTTTTAGTGATCTTGAAGCAATAAAGTTAACACGGCTATAAATAATTTTCTTTTACTCCTGTTGTTGAGATGTTTAAGGAATATATCTGTGCTGGAGGTAGGACAAATAGAAGAGAATTGCGCGCTTTACGCGAGTCAAGAAATTAGCGAATTCAGCGTTTTTTTTCCTCTTGCGTGTCATCTAGGTGTTAACAGCGGACTGTGCGCACCTGTAGTAATTAACACCAATTATTCCACAGAAACACGCCCACACAAAAACCACGACTTCTCATTATCCTTAAAAATTAGATCAAATCACTATGGTGTTGAATAAAAATCTCAAAAAGATTTTAGATTGATCTTCGCGCGACCTCAATGGTTTAATCTCTTCGATTATTGCTACAAGGATGACAAGGTTTACTCTTCAAGTAACTAACCTCGGTACGATTTGTTTCAGACTCGTCCTTCGGAAAAATTGAAGCGGATTTGAGAAACTGTGTTAATATTGCACGCACAAAAGTTGAGGCAGTACATAAATTCGAAATGTTAGCGCTATGTGAAGGGAAACAAAGTATATTCACTTATTTGTAATAGAGGTTATTTTTCGATTTGATTTTATTTGTTTTTAAACATGACTTCCGCGCGATCTCTTCCCGGATTGGTTGGTCAAAGGCTGTACCGATAGGAATGGCGTCAATTTGCTAAAATGAACAAGGTGATTATTTAATATTAATAATGTCATCAGTCCCAAATAAGTGTTAGCCTAACTCCGTGGGGATCTCTCAAGTGGCGTAAGTATTGATTTTGTTTAAAACGGTGAAGATTCCGAAGAAAGCAGACGAGAGATCAGCTTTCTGTTTGCCGAAAAGACGGTTTTACAAAATGGATTTTCCGGTGAGTTCTCCTGGATCAGGGTAATATTTATGATATCACGCAAATATTATCAGCAAACATGGACTTGTGGAGCTCAAACTCCGAAGTTATTAGATCTAAAGTACTGTGCGCACAATTTTATTCTTAAACAGAATGTAAAGCTGGAAAGCCATTGCAGTCAATTGCTGGGAGTCAAAAACACTTGCTTTTGAGCAATTTACGAGATATTTACCTTCGTATTTAACTGCAGGGCCATAAGGGATCAGTTGACAACTGGTGTTGTCTGCCGAGGAAGTATTTTGACAAGGTCCTCATAGCAATTATTGGATCGCTCTCAAAGTAAAACAAAAGAAGTTTTTAAAAAACGATATATCAACCAAGAGCAGCATAGTTATGTTAAAAACACCATATATGAAAGAAAATCACAGGTTAAACAATGATATCTCATTATTTTCAAAGGAAAGAGAATAATTTGAGTCAGGTTTATCTTAATCGAAATAATTTACCACCTGTTTGTAAACAATGAAATCTGACAATCTCTTAAGTTTTACCTGTTCCCGGGGACCTTGTCGTCTTCGTTTATAAGCTAACACAGGTCGTTTTTGCACGAAAACTGTACTTTGAGAGTTTAAAATTTCCTGAGAATAGGGGACGCGAATTTTTGCAAGGAAATATATAAAATTGCATTGTATTGACAATTTGTTCTTTTTATCTCATTATTCGCCAATGTCGCACTATGACAAAACAGGAAACATAAATAGATCGCTCGCGGGCAAATTTTACAAAGCAATTGCTTTGTGAGATTTCGCTCCGAACGCGTAGGAAATAATGCGGAGCCAACGTTCTTTATGAAGGGATCCAGATAGTTTTCATGGATTGTGAAACGTTTTTTTCTGCTCTCTGTTACTTCATGCGGGACATCTGGCGTGTTTTTTTTGCTGTTCATGAATTTTCCGTGTATCATGATCTTTATAAGATTAGTTTAACTGGTTTTGTCCTTTGCTTCTGAACGACAGCTTCTAATTTTGGTACTAAATTTACATTGATGCAAACGAACAATGTATACTTATGCTACGGCCGTTAAACAGTACAACTGACAGGAGGCGCTCTTTTGCTTGTGAAATAAAGTCGCTCTTACCAAGAATTACATAGATCAAACTCGCGAAATTGGGCTTAACCAAGCAAACCACAATTCAGGCAAACGAAATCTTGATATACTCAAGCGACATATCAGAACATTTTATCATGCAAAATGACAACTAGCCTGCAGAGCAGGCGTGAACTTAGCGAGCGGGTGCTAGGTGTTTTCTTGGTAAAATTTATTGCTGCCATCTTTGATTTTTACGGCATTAGAGGGTTGGGGAGAGAAGAAAATTTTTTACCAAGGGGGGTGGGCGACAGTCAGAAGGAAGAAGAGAGGAGGAAGTGGGGCAATAAAAATAACTTCACCCCTTTCCCAGTCCCCTCCCCTACAGTGCACTCTAACTCTAAATCAAATATGGCCGGTCGAATAAACGATCGAAAGTTTGTCGTGTTAACTCGCCCCAGTGGGAAGCTTTCTGTGCAAGCTAAATGATTCCTACAAGTCGAATACAATTAAATAAGTTGCTCACGCTGAAAAGAGCGAAATTTGAAAAAGAAAAAAAAAAGTGAGGGTTCAATTGACTTATATTTACCATGAGGATCAATTAACCACTTATCATTTAATTTGTTGTCATTACACATCAAGTGGTTCATCTTCTTCTTTTCTAAGACAAGTAATGGAGTCTATATGGAACCAGGAGGCGTCATTCGAACAGTTGGGAACCCAGTCCCTGACGGTAACATTGTGATGGACCATGCTTTTGAGATAGCAGAGCTGCCTGTTAAGTTGGAGTTGAGATACGTCATAGAATCAAAACGCGCTGCCAATGGACTCGACTGTCCGAAGATCGACCATAACTCCAAAGATTCCAAGAACCAACAAGTATTTCCCATTATTTATTATTTTTATTAATAGGACCTGATATATAAGGCAGCTTTTGACGATAAGCCAAGAGCTTTAAGTTCAAGCGCATAGCAGAAGGTGCGACCAAAATTGACGGAGTGATTGGTTTGTGAAATTCTGACAACTTTAACTGGGACCCAATATTTGCCCTCGAGTAATGTTAAACAGTGGGGCCGGCATAACGCACCAGACCGTTGCAGGCGAGGTAGATTAAATTGGAAAAAATGAACAATCAGTTTACAAACTAAAATGAAATATCAGACTCAGAAAATATTGTCCAATGGAATCTTAGGATTACTTTTGAGTTGTCAAAACTTTTGCTGACGGAAAATTGAGTCAATTTCAGGATTCTTTTATTAGATTTTTATTTATCCTGACATCTAAGGCAGTAATGCTCACATAGTTATACCGCTGTGACAAAACATCATTCACGGATAGCAGTCGTCAATTATCAGTCCAAAGTAACAATCTTTGTTAAGCTAAGAAACCATTGAGCATCACGTTTTGAAGCTTGTTTAGGCAAACCCTTTTTGTGAGTGACTTCTGTAGAAGACAGAAACCTTTCGAAGATTATGAAGTTTATTACTTGACTACGCTATTTGATATTTTTAATCTCTGTCCCAATCAGATGCCATAAATAAAATATTTTGTGACTAGCTCACCTCAGTCCCTTTTCCCGCGCTCGCGGCCGTTCAGTTGTCTATTCTTTGAGTCCTCATTGGTTGCCTAACATACATATCTTTGGTCTGATTGGCTGTTGCAGTTACTTTGGTTTTCACTCCAGAATGATCTTTCTTTATATGAGAGGATGCACTGCAAAACCAGTTTCCTTGCGAAGTTTTAATTCTAAGCTCTTGCGATGAGACGAATCTGGACGTAGGGCTTCACTTATCCTTCTTCAACAAAACTGAAAAAAACCCAGGTTTCCATGCCTTTTCTACGTATGCGTGTCACTTTCCAACAACAGATTTTTCTTTTTGAAAATTGGAACCAGAATCTGATGGCGGGAAACTCGTCAGTAGTCACGTCAGTGGTCAGGTGTACGTTCTTGTCCGCGGGAAAAAAATCACGTGTTTCTATAATAAGTGCATTGTCTGATACAAGTTGTTGTAGATTGACTGGAAATGAATCACCTCATGAGCTTTTTCAACCAAATCCACATTGACAGGGGAAAAAACTCACAAGCTTGACTTAAATAGCTGAAGGCGAATTGCGATTAATTAAAATAATCTGAGTGAAGGGGGTAAGTTTCTAAAGAAAAAGTGGTGCTTCGTCGGTGGGAGAGTATAACAAGGTAATTTGGTATTATCAACTCAGTTGATAATAATTAGCGATACGTCGCTCTGACGAAGGGCTAACGCTTGAAACGCCAGCTTTAAAAACTCTTTACGGTGGCGAATTTACGATATAAACTCAGTTGATGATACCAAATTACCCTAAAATAATCTGAGGATTATTTGATCAATTTGTATGCGGTTTCCGATTCATAAGAAAGACGCACATCAACAATATTTAACGCACTTTCGACAATCTTTGGCTACATACCACAATATTTCTACGGTTGCGAATGTGGAATACCTTCATATTAGCGCTGGTTTTCGAAGGTAATTGATTCGGCGATTATTTCCGAGAAAACTAGAGGCTATTCGAATATAATTTATTACTCATGGCTAATCACAAAATCCTTCTATCATCATGTAACGTAAACAAGACCATTTGAGAATACTTCATTGGGACGCTTCTCATTTCGCCTCTATACAACGTAGCTTTGAGTAAAGATCGTTTTGATTCAGCAAAACCAACCATCTACTTAATTATCACGCCAAAGAGAGTTTTTTTTATCACGCTCGAGTGACTGCAAACAATATAAACACTGGAAGGCCTTTGTTCAGCAGTTTGCACCTGTTTCCAAAATTATCAGCGTTTGAATGTTTGCATAGTTTGCACCAATTGCTCTTGACGGGTGGTATGGGGGGGATTGGTACCTGTCATTCAATAATGACATTTCCCTTTCATCTTCTCAAACTTCCATTGACTACAGACCATCAAATGGAAGATGAAATGCAAAACTTGCCTCTAGCTTGCAAAGAAGCCTTGTCTTATGGGAAAGATCATTTTAATCAAGCTTATAACGGTATTAACTATGCTATGAAATTGCAATACCTCAGTTAGGTGGTTCATTGTAGCAGGTAACTCCCTCCCCCGGAAAACAACCTGTCATGATCTTTTCATTACCTATGTTTATGTAAGAAGTGGTTATCTGATTTCTCGTCAGTTTTCTCAAAAAGGTGAATGAAGTGATTTGAATTTCCTGACTGTGTTTGTCATTTTTCATTAGTTGTTCCTCTTTGTTCCTCTACATATGTTCGTTCGGGATTCTTTATCTCCTCTTATGCAGCTTACGCCAGAAGAAGAGCAGAGAAGAAAGCTTCGGAGGGAGCGAAACAAGGTCGCTGCTTCGAAATGTCGAATGAAGCGGAAAGAACATGTTAATACCTTGAGACAGGTGAGCTTCTCTTGGATCTCTGATTATCAACTTAGTCACATTTTGGGGAAATGATTATAACGAGTCTAAATTTGAACTACAAGAAGACAAACAATTTTCTAGTTCTTTATGGGAACAGCTGTCCTAATTCCACGATTTTTGCATGAAGAGCTTGTATCTAATTTACTCTTTTGGTCAGAAGGCGTTTGAGCGCAATAATGATTGTAAAAGTTAGAAAAAACAAAGTCAAAGACATTATTTACTTTTTGGTCCACGTGACCCCAGGTACATACGTGTATAACGAACCTCATCCGTCTCCCATAATACTCCGGGGTGCATGGACTTTGACCTAGAGGAATAGGCAGTTGAATCAGTATGCAATTAGGATAGGTTTCTTGAGTTTGTGTCTGTTAGTGGTATTTCGTGTCTCAGTCCTTATTGCAGTTTTATCAAATTAACAAATACTAATTGTTCAATTCCAACTGGAGCAGATTGATAGTCGGGCAACCTTTGAGTGAATCTAGGCTCTTTGGGTTGATGGGATAACACTTTATTACCGGAAAAAAGGTTTTAATGAAATAATGTAATCTCGAACTGCAATTGTAAAAGAAAAGGAGCTTAAATTTCTAACTGAAGCTTTTCGCCTAATACAGGTTTCATGTGACAAAATACTTAGTTTGAGTGTCCACTTAATGGAGGTGTTAAAAGTTAGTTGAAGAGAACTTCTTTGCATTTAATAAGGGGAGAAAAATCGGGATTTTGGCCAATGTCTGTATAACACAGGGTCTCCATTGAATATGGGATCGTTTAATAGAAAATTATTTCACGAGTTCGCGCTGGACGTGAGATGATAGATAGCCAACGAGGCCCATAGGGCTAAGTTGGCTATAATCATCTCATTTCCAACAAGCGCGGGTAGAATAGTTTTTTTTATTATTAAAAAACGCCTAAAAATATAGATAAACAAATACATGATTTAGATAAGTTTTTATCCGTTTTAATTTTGAGCTGATGCGTACACTTTCCACACTTGTAGAGCATGGTATTATGGCTTATAATCCATGATGGCTATGCCAATGAAAACTCGTGAATTTCATTATCCAAAGATGCAGTTTTCAATAATACAGGTATCACCGTAAAAGAACTTCCCGGATAATTTTCACCGCATGTTTCACCGCATGTTTGAAAAAGATCTACTTCAACTGCAGCTTATATCCATGGACATTTTTGGCTGGAATGTATGTGTTTCTCTTTGTAGTAAGCTGACAAAAAAGCTTACTAAACGAGCTCGAATCGGGTTTGGTCATTATCACTGATTTTTCTATTTTGGAGGGATTCTGATTTAATATAATTGGTTTCGTCTGTAGGCCGCTGAGGAACTAGAATCAGCCAATAGTCAGCTTGAAGCGGAGATCGCATACCTCACAGCAGAGCGAGATCAACTCGAAATGATGCTTGACGCGCATGTCTGTAACATGGAGAAAGCCGTTGGTCGCGGGCCTGCCTAAGAATGACACCTTCCCCGAATTGAACCGAGATGAGATGTTCGTTCATGAGCTGTTTCATATGTATGGAAGAAAAGAAGGATGGCAAAAGGTGATCATTGTCAAGAGACTGCGCTGAAAAAACAAAGTCAGATTTGCATCGCTTTTGAAGGAGCTCGCATATGACTTGATCAGACCGCTTGATTAGTAATTTTAAGTGGAGACCAGCTTTCTGATAGCTTCTGTTTTTGTTATTTGATATGTCAATCAGGCTACCTTAGTCAGACTAAAAAATACTTACACAAGAAAAGAAAAAACAAAAAACGAACTAACGAACAAACAAACAAACGAACGTACGAACAAACAACCAATCAAAAAAACAAACGAGCAAACTGTCAAACAGACGAATTCTTAAGCATAACAATCACGTGACTGATTGATGATTTTTCTTGCTGTTCTTTCTTTACGTAAGAATTAGAAACGGTTCGAGATTTCTTTGAAATCGCAGAGTCTTTCAGGTCTAATCAAAATGAAAGATTTCGAACAATCACAGTGATCAGCCAACGGAAGAACAGAATCAGTTCATTTTTTATTTAGAAAAAAAAATATTCTAAAAACTTTCTTATAACTTAACACTGCTGATATGTCTTCCAATTATCCTTTGACAAAGGTCTTTTGACTTGCGAAATAATCTCGCGGGTAGAGATAATTTTAATTTTTTCTTATTTTAACAAAAGAATTTTTTTATAGTACTATTTTTTACTTGGAGTTTTTAAGAGGCTTCATTTGTTTATATTTCACCATAATCCGTCCATAGCTGTTACTAGTAACCATGCGCACAAATCAGACTTTTTATGCAATCATCAATTGTTTAAAAATGACGTGAACGATCGTGGAGTTAATTTTCAGGAGTTATTTCCAAAATGGCAGCTGAAAATTAAAATCGCCATATGTAAGCTACACATTGACAGGAATGCCAGTTAGGAACTGAACTGAAGAACTCATTATTTATTTTGCAATCTTCTTAAGTTTCAGCAAGTTAGGAGTTATCTCCGGCGAGAAAACATTTAATTTTACAGAAAAATACCTCAGGGAGGGTCTGAACGGGGCTATCCGAGTTGGTTGTTAAAGGCCAAAGACGATGAAGCCGCTAGGCGTAAAAATTGACAACTTTTAAACCGTTGGTCGTAAATTTTTTTTCTTTTAATCGCAATGGAAAGAAATTAACCGTGCAATGACCTAAATCTTAACCGTTAGTCGTAGGAGCCATCACTCCATCGAGGCCCTCGGTTGAAAAAACTTAAGTGAATATCAACAATTTCATGATATGATGTCTCCGAAGATTTGAATTGCATCAACGACTAACTTGGAACTCTCGCTGAATGTTGTCATGATTTGACCATGTTCTTTCACGATAGGTCCATTTTCTTAACGAAGGATTTTTATTTTGGTCGCCATTTTTGAGAGGTGTCTGTTATTAATCAGTTGGTGCTTCCCAAGGCAAGTGATTCTATCATGAAGACATAAAAAAAAAAAAACACTGCCGTCGGTTAAGTACTTCTGTTGCTCTCAGTGGTATCACGCCTGATAAATTTATTCAAAATGATTATGTACTCTCAGAATTCGTAACGAACTTAAACTGCAAAAAGGAAAAAAGGATACCAATTGCCTGGTGAAAATTAACGACGGTCATCCTATCATATTGGTGGTTGGGTTTAATTTAAAAAATATTCATCTTTTATTATGCGATGCAAATTTTGAACGTTTTGTTTTCCAGTCAAAACTTTCCACATGAGCAAAAAAAAAAAAACAAGTTGAGTACTGATTCCTTTTGCCTATGATTTAGAAAACAAAAAAGTTACGAAAGTTTTTTCTTAAGCGGCATCTTTATTATTCATATAAGCCAAATTATTTTACCAGCTCGTATGAGTCAAAAAACAAACAGAAATCGCTATGTGTCATTTGGTAAACGAGTTAAAAAATATACCACAAAAACAAACAAACAAACGAAAACCTCAAAATACATAGTCCGAATCAAATAAGCAAACCCAAGGGCTGTTAGCCGATGATTTGAGGACAGACCAAGAAGATCTTAGAATCTAAGAGTCCTCTTATTGCCGAGACTTGACATTAGGAAGTTTGCTAGTGAAGGAAATTTGTAAGGAAAACTTTGTGGAACGCGTATGGAAGATTGCAAAGTAAAATTCAATTCAGTTTAGGGAATTTACGCCCTTGGTGGACAGAGGAAAATGTCGAAATGATTAACGTATAAGATTCGGAGCAAAACAAGCAGACCCTTTTATGTTATGGTTGTAAAAGTTTAATAATCATGTCAGCGAAAAAATTCAATTTTAAGGTAACAGTATTAATTGTATATAATAGCATAATTGTAGTTTATTGAAGGATTTAACCCCGTAATCGCTAAGTGAGCCATATGTGAAACTTATTTTATAAGTGTATATATATTAAATTTTTTGTGCATCATCGATGTTTTTGTTCACTGGATCTTGAAACTGTTGAGAATGTATTAAACAACAATAGTAATCAAGGGACCTAAGGCTACTTTGAACACTTTTTGGCTTAAAAGTGATAATTCATAATGACCAGATACAATCTCATTCCTTCGGTCTCTTTTTAGAGAACTTCGGAGTTCTCCTAAGGAATGGCGCAAGATTCCCGGGCCATTGCTATTGTGAGTGTAGCTTAAATGTGGTGTTCTGAATCGAATTGCACAGCTAAGAATTCTTTGAATTTGTAATAAAAATGAGCTAATGAACTTTTCCAATGTCTGCGGAAAATTTCAACCTTCCATTAAACCTTATGACGTTCCTATTGTTTCAAAGTTCTTTTTGATTCCCAGCTCCTGGCCTTTCCAATTCGGGCATAGTTTGGAAAAAAATTACCCCTATTCCGCCACTCCCACCGCCCCCGTAAATGCTGCGAAGTGGTTAAGGGGAAAGTAGAAACCTGTTCCTTTCTTTTGTAAGTAACAATTCTACTTAAAATGGTTTAATTTCTCTCACCTGTCGTCTCTGATTCTTACCGACCAGCTACGAACTATACAAGTACGACAGTTTAAAAAATGTTCTATTCTGGCATTAAAGTAGCCACAAAAGTGTCTCTGCAAAGGTAATATTTACAAAGTGTGACCAGAAATATTTACACTATTTGCACTAGAATCAGCTCCTAAACTATTTACAACACTACCAAGATTTACCTTACCAACGTTATGGCAAAAGGGTCTATGACAAAGTGGTAATTACTTCCTACATCCCGGAATTATTTCAAAATTATGCGTTTGATAACTAAAACGCGGAGGAAAACGATATCAAAATTACACAACAGAATTATGATTTTTTCAAAGAGCTAACTTGCATGCGACGATAGAAATTACTTTAAAAAAAAGGACAATCCTGATATCTGTGCTAAAACTGATTTAGTTACCATTATACAGTATATTTCACAGTATATCTGCTTAGAGCAAGTCAATGAATTAGTGTATGGTAAATTAAGTTTCATTGGTAAACTTTTCTGATGATTTTCATTGGATTTCCATTGACTTTTTTCAACCGGTCAGCCATCTTGGATGACAAAGGATCCTCTGGGACCTGGGCACGGGTCTGGGCAAGTTCAAGGTCTAGTTGTTAAGAAAATATTCCGTTAGTTATTCTTAAAGTAAATAATATTTTCCATTTTCTAAAACATAAAATGTACTCAGAAATCTTCAATGTTAGGTATGTGTATTGGGAATGGATCAAGGAATATAGTAAGCATGTGCAGAAATGGACACACACCAAGGCAAACAAATTTGTAGTCCGACGATACATGGGTGGACGGGCAGAAAGATAGAGTAACAGATCGAGACTGTTCATATTCATTTCTTAAAGCGCAGTTCAAATACACGATTTTTACATCAGTATTTTCATTCATTGTTTCATCATTTCACGACTTTATTAATTACGAGCCAACTTAATGACCAGCTCCCACTTGGCTTGTTAGCTCAGTTGGTGGAGCTCTGCACCGGTATCGCAGAGGTTACGGGTTCAAATCCCGTAAAGGCCTAACTTTTTTTTCAAGTCATTTTCATTACTTCTCAAGTAGTGTTTCTCACTGCGAGGATTGCTTTCATATTCAGACAGACAGACAGACTAATTGATAGGCTGACTGTCTGATTGACCTACTGACTCTCTGATATGCTGATAGACTGACTGACTGCTTAAATTACTGACTGACTGGCTAATTAAGTGACCGACTGAATGTATTGCCGACGGAGAGACTTTTAGACTGACTGACAGACTGAAAGATTTCCAAACTAAAAGACTAGCAAACGGAGAGGCTGATTGAGTGATTAAAGTTATTAGTACAGTGTTTTCCTTCCATTTCCCAGATCAATAATTGAATTACAAAGTTGATGATTAAACCAGGCTATGTGCACGCATTTTTTGTAGGATTTCGCCGACCAAGATAATCAGATTTACATAGAACAAAATTTGATGGAGGGGCTCACCTGTAAAACCGAAGTACGTCTTCAAATCAAAAATGCTTTCCTCGAGATCTATAAATTGATGGAAAAAATGATAAGCTTGTATTTTGGGTTGTCAAAAAATGGTAAATGCAGAGAAATAAGCGGGCAAAGCGGTATGAAATCAGCTTTCGGCGATTTCTACTTGTTTTTGCTACATGGATGTAACAACCACGGACGATTACCTCATGAGGTCCTGCGGAATGCAATTAGACAGAAACATTTGTTTCTTACTTTACACTAACGCATATATTGTAAAAGCTACACACCATCAATTTCGTTCTCTCTATCCTCGTCAGATGAATATTCCTCATCTTCTTCAATCCTGTGGTTTTTTTTACATGGTGGCCATTTCTTTTTTTCTTCCAGGTCACTGACCCATTTTCTGCAGGTTTCCAATGCTGCTATTTTCACACGAAGATCTTTGTGGGGGCCCAAAACGGGTTCTGGATACTTAGTTTCCGACAAGAAGTTTTCTTCTTTATCGTACGGGCTTTGTTCGCTCTCTGGGTGCCAATACCAATGACTTGCGGCCTTTAATTCAGCTTGGAAGTTGAATTCATCAGGTGTGTTTGGGTAATGGTTTTTCATGTATACCAAAACGGCTGTCACAAGTGTACCGAAATCCATAAGGGACATTCCACCTTTGCATTTTTCGAGTTTTGTTTTGTTCCAGGTAAAGTTTTCCTTTAATTGCTCTGCGCTTTTACCCTATAATAAAAAAAACATTCCCTTAGGTATTTAGGACCTGTGCTATGGGCTAAGCTACCTTCCCGTATTAGGACTTTGCATTCACTAGCGGGTTTTAAGAGGGCAGTCAGAGGATTGGATTTGGAAATGCTTATGGGCGATGGTGGCTGTGTGGACTGCTTGGTTTGCAGCGCATGATTCTTAGTTATGTTTTTTTTTTTGTTTTTTTTTTTTGTTAGGCTCAGATTTTCTCCCCCCCCCCCCCCCCCCCCCCCCCCCCCCGTCTTTTATCGTCTGGGAATCAAGGGGCCCTGGCCTAATTCTGCTGACCGCAAATTTTTTCAGTCTCATTTAATTATAAACATAATTTAATTAATTATTAATATTGCGAATGGATGAATTACAATCGTGAGTGTGTGGGTAGAGAGAGTGAGCGGGTTTTAGAGAGAGATTTACTTATTTTACATGTAAATTATTCTTATATTAATATTTAGCTATTTATTAGAGAGTAGTAGAGAGAGTGAGCTAGTTTAGAGATAGAATCTGTACATATCTTACATGTAAATTATTCGAATATCAATATTTTAGCTATTTACTATTTTATTTAAACTATTTAGTTGTTGTGTCCTTACTTAGTGGTTTCATTACTGCTATTTTTTTTATAATTGACACATGAATAAAGTTATTATTATTATTATTATTATTATTATTAAACAACAAAAAAAAATTCAGGAAACGTAGCACATCATGTGACCCAAATTTGCGGCCTTGTAGTTGTGCTATTAAAGTGGGATTTGTACTAACAGCCATCACGTAGGTTCCTCTAAACTTTAGGTGCCTTTCAACGAATAACTGACCGGAGTCGGCTGAAATATCTGCTTTCCAAAGAAAAACTTCGGTTTCGTGTTTTGATTTTTCTCTCTGGTGAAGAGGGTAATACAGAGCAGGATTTGTGACCAGCCAAACTGAAAGGCGATTAATCCTCGATTATCTTTTGGCACTGGCGGCTATCGGTAGAGTCATGCAAGCTCATTACAATGAATAGAAAAAAAATGCTATCTTTACCGATTTTGCTGTTGTTGTTTTTAGGAAAAAAGTTTTAGCGGAGGCGTGTTCTGCCGCACTCGGTAATAACTGTCGCATTTTGTAATAAATCTGGTATAGACATAGTTTGATGCTACACTGGTTTACAGATTTAATGAATGTAACCGAAGAAGTTACAATTCATAGACCCAACGTTTCGACACTCCTGTCTAGTGCCTTCATCAGGGGTGATCTAAACGCTGCAACAAGAGGTCCTTTTATATGATCACTAATTAGCGGCCTTTTTTCTGACGAGGTGTAAGTAAGCGTCAGGAAGCAGACCGCCATCGTCACGATTTAAAGGAGCGTGGGCGGAGTTTATGTGCCAAGCCTCCAAAACCAGTTACAAATAGTAACGCTCTTGATGAAAGGGAACCAGCAACTGGTTTTGCTGTTATTCCTTACATACAGGGTGTTACTGAACCCATCAAGAGAATTTTGAATAGCCACAACGTTAAAGTTGCTCAAAAACCTTTTCAGACTTTGGGGCATATTTTCGCCAAACCTAAGGATCCTGTCACGAAAGAACAACGAACCGACGCCATTTATTCTATTCCTTGCAATGACTGTGACAACGAATACATCGGACAGACCAAACGCCAGTTTGGTACACGGTTAAAAGAGCACCAAAAAGCGGTTTTTCTTTGCAAAAAGGAAAATTCAGCTTTATCGGAGCATACTTGCCTAACCAACCATACAATTGGGTGGGATAATTCTAAAATTATCACCACTAATCGGCGTTACCACCAGCGCCTTTGTTTGGAGGCTTGGCACATAAACTCCGCCCACGCTCCTTTAAATCGTGACGATGGCGGTCTGCTTCCTGACGCTTACTTACACCTCGTCAGAAAAAAGGCCGCTAATTAGTGATCATATAAAAGGACCTCTTGTTGCAGCGTTTAGATCACCCCTGATGAAGGCACTAGACAGGAGTGTCGAAACGTTGGGTCTATGAATTGTAACTTCTTCGGTTACATTCATTAAATCTGCAAACCAGTGTAGCATCAAACTATGTCTGATTGTCCACCTGGTTGCCGTGTGAACTTTAATATATTAAATCTGGTATAGTACTCACAGCATCCATAAGAGTCGCCGCTAAATTTTTTCCTCAGTAATTGTTACTTATGGCCTTCTTTTCTACTAGAAATAAGCCTGACACATACTATCACGGCCTTAATAGAGTTTACTATCTTAATTCACGTCTCATACACAAGAGTGGGTGTGCAGCTCGAACTAGGAGCCTGAGTGTCTAATGCCGTCCGACAAAGGTACAGAAAACAGTAAACAACTAGTTACAACTGAATCAACTCTCGGGCTTAAACATTTTGTGTGCCGCCGCATGATACGATAACCCAAAAAACCCAGTGAGGTTCATCCAAATGCAGGTGCACCAACCATAAGGTGAGAAGTAAAACAGGCTAAGTTACATGCAAGTGAAAATTTAGCGTAAAGCTTGAAAAGTTCGAGATATGAGATGTATGCATTACAAATATCAAACCTGATATACGCCCTACAATAAAAGACGCAATTAACGTCATAGCAGCTCACGTGGTTACATTCCGATTGGAAAATATTTACATTCTCCGTCACTGCCACTTACAGTTTAGTTCTGCTGAATGTAAATACATTACTACCTACCTTCTTTGCTGTTGTCTTCTATGTACGAAGAGGTGAATAATGGCTCATGTGCTGTCCCTGCCCTGAAAACGACGAGGTTCCTTCTCGTTACATATGCCATCATAGCTCGCTGGTGCACACTAGAAAAGAAAACTTGAAAATCAGCTGAGCTTAATATGTTTTGATGCCACAAATTAGGTGTTCACTGGTGTAAGCTTTCCAAAAGGTTGTACCCCCCCCCATGTGTGGCCTTATCCTCCTCCCAAAGAGAAGGGACCTTTAGCAGTTGGGACGGCAACGCCGTAGACGTCCCTTCCGTTCCGTTACTCCTTGGAGGGGGGGGGGGGGGGTAATGTTCTATGTAAGCATTAGGAACTCTATAATGTAAGCGAAAAGGACTATGGGAAATGAGAGTGAACCGGCCATGTTGTTGTAAGAAGCGTGCTTTGGTTGAAGTTGTGTTCAGAGTCAATCATATTGTTTTGTTGATCATCTGACCCCAAACAGCACAGGGAGAGAATACGGCTACACGTAGGCTAATAAGTACCTATTTGTAAATGCAATTTACAATATTAACAGTTTATCTTCAGTAAATAGTGTTCTACCTGAACTTTATAAACAGTCGTTTCTTTTAATTACCTGGAAAATAACTCTGGTGGCCCTTTAAAACTGTTCCTGAAAAAAAATTCAATTAAAAACATTAAATTTCGTGAATTCCTCGCGTTGTGCTCAACCAGTAATCGATGAAGTAATTCACCGAGCGCCAACTCGTTGTTCGCTATTGTGCCTTTAGGTTAACATGAAAATTCAATAGTAGAAAAAAAGGTTAGAATTCAGACTTCAATGTGCCTTCGGTAAGCGAATACTTTTAATTATTTGTGTGAAGATACAAAATCTAAGAAATGTTTCGCTTTAAAGTGGATAATATAAAGGATAATAAAGGACTCGATCATAACTTTAATCGTTTTCAGTCATCGACACGACTTATTCATGCTGCAGTTTTGAATTTCCACGGCAAGAATATAGTAACTTCCAACCGATCATTTGAGGCCGACGGTGATGCAGTGGTGGAAAAGAAAATTTTCCTGATGATCTGCAATCTACTTTGTGTTTATGTACGGCACTCTTTAATTTCGTGCAAACAAACATTGAGCTACAAGAATGATAATTTTCATTCCCAAACCTTGCTAAATTGTTCCTAAATGTCAGGACAATAGGCTTGCTTGTGATCCTGAGCATGTTGTTTTAGCCTTCTGCTCGGTGTAGGAACCTTTCACTTTCACTAGTGATCTAGAACAAAGAAAAAAAGAGATTCTAAAGCAAAAATGCTTAACAAAATAATTGTAATCGATTTTTTCTGGCATATATGATCTTTTGCGATTTAAAAAGACATTTTTTTTATAGCTTTTTTTTTTTTTTTTACAAGAATTCTTACTTTATTCAAAAAAATTCCTTTTTGTAACGAGAGGCATAATTTATTTGAGTGTGTTTGTGGAAAATCGACAACTGGAAGATTTGCCACAGGCCGAATTGGCCGTTTACCCGAAAGATTTCTGCTGTCGGTAAGAACAAAGTCAATGAATGAGAATTTTGTAAATTGAAAATTTACAAAAATATAAGTCGAATATCGAGTTAAGGATGCACGCGGGAAGTTTAGAGAGCACGAGAGAAGCGTGAAAGTTGCTCTCGGCTGCGCCTCAAGCAACTCCAGCTTCTTGCGCACGCGCCATGTTATAAATAGAGAATAATACATGGGCGGGCGTTGATGAGGAATTTCTCTTCGAGTGTTTAACTAGATAGCTCACGAGTGAGCGCGGCGAACGAGTGAGATGTCGAGTTGGACACGAGAAGATAAACTCCATCCCTACAAGCAACCATGTATTATTTTGTCTATCATATAAACACAATAGCCCTTTACTAACACGAAAAGCCGACTTCATTAATGAATGAAAATAAATGAATCGACAATCCTAACTCTTAAGATGGAAAAATGCGTTGGATCATGAATACAAAAACAACAATGGTTGTAATTTTTAATTTACAAAATTCTCATTTAATGACTTTTTCCTTGCCGACAGATGAAGTCTTTCAGGAAAACGGCCAAAATCGGCCTACCAATCTTCCAGTTGCCGATTTTTATTCTCAGCCGCGAGAAATGTCAACACCAAAGCCACTGAATACGTAACTTTCGGTTTTCCTTTTTGTATATTGGTTTTTTTCCACTTCTAGCGGAAGTTTGAACCTCACTATCTGTCAGCGATACGGATTCTTTTAGTTTTAGCCGCTATAATTCGAGAAAGTTCCCACAAACTAACTTGTGTTGAGAGTCATGAAGGCTTTGGCGTTCATTCATCAATCTGACCGAGTCGCGCCAAAGCAGAGTGATACGTCAGCACTGAGCTGATTGGCTATATCAATACATGAATATGAAAGCGATCTTCGCAGCTATGAACACTACTACTAAGCAGTAGTAAAAAGAAGGCCTGAAAAAAATTCAGGCCTGTACGGGATTTGAACCCATGACCTCTGTGATACCGGTGCAGTGCTCAACCAACTGAGCTAACAAGCCAACTGCGAGCTGGTCACTGTGTTGGTTCCAATTAAACCCGTGAAGTGGTGAATAAACGAATAAAATAAATGAATAAAAATAAACTGCTTTAGTAGTGTCCATAACTGCGAAGATCGCTTTCATATTCACGTCTTTATCCGCAGTTCAAATATACGACTTTCAAATATTCACAGCCGTATATCAATACACGTGAAAAAAATACGATATTTTTTCACGTGTGTTGTTACGGCTTTTCTCAGGGCCGGAAATCCTTGTAAAACACCGCAATTTATGTGATAAATAGAGAATAATATATGGCACGCGCAGATATGAAATTTCTCTTCAAGTGTTCAATTCTATAGCTCACTAGAGAGCGCAGCGAACGAGTGAGATGTCGAGTTATAGAGTTGAACGTTTGAAGAGAAATTCTATATCTACGCGCACCCATGTAGTATTCTCTATTTATAACATAGTGCGCGCATAGAGAAGCTAGAGTTGCTCTCGGCTGCGCCTCACGCAACTCTCGCGCTTCTCTCGTGCTCGCCAAACTTCTCGCACGTATCCATAACTCGATATACGCACGCTAAGTATGGATCAATTCTTTATAGTTAGTGGGCAAATTCTCCGAGCTTGTTTAATTCCCAACATGGAGAATGGTGGGTTTACTTTCGCGTGAAAATTTCTGACTGCTGGGTATTTAGGCTATTTTGGACAGTGCCCAGCTGCCGGGCATTTAGCTACAGCGAAATAAATTGGACTCACCTCATCTTATTATCTTGGGTTCAGTTGTGTATTTAAATTCGGGAACTTTACAAATAAATTTTTTAGTGCGCATGAGAAAGTCTTCATTTAAGTTTTAGATTCCTGAAAAATCGAGAGCGGTGATCGTGACGAACCTTTAACTTATTACAAACTTGAATAACAAGCTGGCTCCGGCTGTTCGTGGGTCGGATAACGCTATCCACTGGATAAATCTCTATCCGGTGGATAACACTATACGTTTTGCCATCACTTATATACTGGATAGCGATTTATCCGTTGGATAGCATTATCCGTACTTATACAACTAGGCCTTGATTACTTCTGCGGCGGTATTGAGACTGCTAGGAAATAATTTTCTAGGCAGGAAAATATAGCTCAGCACACGCATTTCAAAAGTTTTCTGGTTTCCTTGCCAACCTCTGGGAAATAACATCATGCAATCAGAATAAAAACATTGAGAACGGTACGATGATCGGGATGAACCTATAACTAATTACAAACTTGAATAACAAGCTTATCACTACTGCGGCGGCTGCTGGAAAATAATTTTCTAAGCAGGAATATAGCTCAGCAGGCGCGTTTTAAAAGTTTACTAGTCTCCTTGCCGACCTCTGGGAAATAACATCTTGCAATCAGAGTAAAAACATTGAGAACGGTAGGCCCGACGGCAAATAATTCTCTTTTCTTTACGGAACTCAAAACTGCTGAAAGTTATTTAATCATTCGATCAACCATCTTTCTTATTTTATCGAGACTGAGGTCCTCACGAGACTGCCAGGAAAATAATTTTATAAGCTAGACGATAACTCAGCACGCGCGTTTTAAACTTCTCTAGTTTCCTCACCGACCTCTGGAAAAATAACATCATGCAATCAGAGTAAAAAAATTGAGAACGGTAGGCCCAACGGCAAATAATTCCCTTTTCTTTTTAGAACTAATCACTTTTGGTGCCGAAAGTAATTTATTCATTCGATCCACCGTCTTTCGACTGAAATTGCACTCCTGATGAAAAATAAACAAAACAAAAAAAAAAAAACTAAAAAAAAAAGGAAGACTGAAAACTAAACGAGGCTTCTTTTTGTAATTTTTCTGCTCTTCTGTGAGGTTCACCCATAGGTCAAAATATAATATTTTTCATGAAACTATGATCAAATATCAGAAAAATACCTTTACGGAAATGTAGAACTCAGTTCAGTTGTTGCTATCGCCCGATGATCTCAGGTGTACGAAGCTTGTCGAAGTCCTTTACGAATGAAATTAATTTTGAATTCTGCTTTAAATTTCAAATAGGTTTTTTAATTAGTGTTTCGTCACGTGATAGATTCAGAGCGTATCGGAGCTGGTTGTTTGGAACCTGATTCAAACTTATCTATTTCATTATGACAAGAAATAGACAAATCCTCAAACTCCTTGGAATAGGGGAGCGTTTTTCGTTTAACTACTGGCGAAAGATATCAAAGGGATGTCAATTTATAAGATTTGGCGGTGAACGAATGGCTATTGACAGGAAAGCTGTCAAGCGCAAGATAAAGCCGTGCGAAAAAGATCTGTATGAAAAGTTGATGGCAGGAGAGATCAACGAGGAGAGCCTCAGATACGATTTTTGTTATGATAGAGATAACCAACTTATTTTACCTGATGTCTTAGGTAAGGAGTAAATTATCGTTCGTTGCCAAAGTGTGCATAATATTTAATTGATATCATGAATGTTGAAACGGAAATTTAAGAAATTCTTGGTTACGTTATGTTAAAACGGTAAAAATATGTTTAGAAGTTTCCAAAAATATCCTGAGCATTCGTAGAACTACTTATTTATCGAGACTGAGGTCTTCACGAGGTGTAAGTCCGTGCATCTTCGATGCAATTCATGAAGATATTTGTTTACGTATAGTGTCATTAGTATTTGAATCATTGCGTATTTCTGCTACAAATCCGTCAGTTTTTTTTAAATGGACGTTTGTACATTCGCAGAGGGTACATATGTTTCTGTATTTAACTAAGTAGAGCGAGGGTACAAGCACTTTTATATGGAGAATGTTACAATAGTCTAGAGTCGGCCTGTAAGAGTGCGCGATATGTCTCAAACAAACACCTGCTATGAATTCATAAATTACAAATTTATGAGATAGACGACGTTTCACCATCAGAAAACAACTGTGGTAAATTTTTTCAACTTCCATTCCGTCTTCCTAAAGTATTTTACCACCAGATATCCCGCTCGGTTTTACCACAGAAGTCGTTTATTTCAAGCTCCCTCCCTAACTTTTGACAGCATATCTTGGCGACATAACAAAATAATGTTTCTAACGTTAAGAGGCAGAGGTCCTGCTAATAAATATTTCTAGCTACCCTTGGCTTTACCTGTCGATTTACTATTTCTAAGATATCTCTGCTACTTTCGCTAAACGTATGTAGTTATTCGTTCTGAACTGTTTCTATTGTTCTTCATAACAGGTTTAAGTACCTTTACCAATAGATATCTGATGCCATCCCATCTAACAAGGAAACCTGAACGGCTATGGCAGCTGGACCCCGAGAGTCGTTTTCCAAACGAACTGGAAATATTTGTCCCTCAAGACCGTAGCTTTAAAGGATACATAAGGATTAAAAAGGGTACCCAAGTCGAAAAGGACAAATTAATCGAGGTTAAGTCCCTTTTTTTGATTAGAACATTTGTTATTTTAGCTGTTACGTAAAATGTGTTTTGATAAAAGAAGAGAACTGTTATTTTCATATAAATAAGTAACTTTTCATTAAACTCTCCTGCAATGTTCAGGGGATTGTCTCCTTAAAATAAGCCAATTTCTCTTTAGTTTTCAAATGCTAAGGAAAACTCATCAATGCAGAGCTCTTGAACTTTAAGTTTGGATAATTGCCCAACATACGGGGCAAAATTTCTGATTACTTAATTTTCTTGATTGGTTGAGTGCACGTCGTCTGAGTTAATTGCTATTGTTTTCTCTCGTGAACCGGGTTTTGAAAATTTTGCTTATTTGTAGTGTTTTTTGGTGCTTACGGAGCCTAAACGGACCCTTTGTTTACGAATGTCATCGATTTAGTATTTCCACTCGGTAGATGGTGATATAATTATACACTCGGAAGATAGTTGTTACTTGCAAACTTCGAAGCTACGCCTGAAATCAATCCTTGATTTCCCTCGGGTCCATAAGGTTTCAAAGGGCTTTTTACAAATTTTATTGCTCTAAAGAGGTTTGACCTTAAAGAGGGGGGTTCTTAGGAATAAGCAATCAGTCGGGAAATCTGTAAAAAATTCTCCTATTCAATTGAATGCGTTTTCCCACCTGTTCTAACAAACAGTTAAGACTAATTTGGCACCACGTTTCCAATTCATTCATGTCATTTCGAAGTCAGTTGGCCCAGTTTTATAATTCCTAACCCAAACATTGTGGTCCTCTTAAGATTTCGTAGTTGATTTGTGCTTTTTTTCGTTTTGTGCACATCAAATTCAACTTTTCCACTGAACTGGTTACGTTGAGGCATATTTTTCGGCTTTGTTACTATTCTGTTTTATACGCCAGCCAAGATAAGATAAAACACCCATGCATGTATCTGCTTCCGTCTGAGGCAAAGCATGTTTCATCTTCAACCCAATAACTTTTCCATCCTATTTCCTTTAGATGCTTGGGTGCCTTCCTTGGAGGAAATGCCCTAAACAACTTGTGGAAAACCCACCAAACTGAGACCGTGCTCTTTGAAAGACTTTCACAAGAGTGGTGGCTTTGGATTTACTATTTCAAGTTTCTATCAAAAGAGAAATGAGCAATTTCGTGTCCCCTCTTCTTTATTGTAGTACAATTAAGTGTAAAATATAATAAAAGATATCGAATTTTTTTTCGTCGCAAGGCTGCTCTAGCTCACCCATGTTTCAGAATTCATAACTGGATGAAAACGTAGGTATATCAAGTAGTCAAAGAACAAAGGCCTCCCCGCCCTTTGTTTTTCAAAATACAAACTATGAAGATACGATTCCTATTACACTATAAAGGAAAAATATCAGTTTTTGGGTAACACGTTGTAATTTTTGTAGGTGTAGTCCTCTGACCCTATTTCACTCAAAGCAAATCGTCCATCGCATTTAGGTAGAGAAGTAGAGTCCAGTTACAAATTGTGTAATAACGAAATGTGAAATATAGACCTGTTTTTTTCTTTTCATCTCTCCTGTTTTTTTTTTTTTTAAGTATTGTCTATAAGAGTCAACCAATCAAAAGCCATAAAATCATTCATAGTGGCTATTCGTCGATGGTATCATATGCCTGACACATTTTTTATCCACTCACGTACGTGAGAGACATTGGTATAAACTCCAGGGTTGTCCTCCCGTCCACAGCCGTAACCCCAGCTGACAATTCCTTCTAGTTTCCAAATGCTGTTTTGGTGCTCGCAAACGTATGGTCCGCCGCTATCGCCTGTACAAGCATCTTTTTCGCCTGCTAGATGTCCTCCACACAGCATACTTTCGTGGACCTCTCCTGAATAGATCTCTCGGCATGTGGAATAGGGCACGACTGGAACGGTCACCTGACAAAAAGATAAAAAAAGAAAGAAAAGGAAACCTGTGCCTTTAGGTTAACGTCTCACCAAACGCGGCTAAAAGTTTGCGCGACTGAGTCTATCAAGACTGCTTTTCGACATTGTTGTAATTATGCTTAAAATGAACAGTTGTTTGCTTTCCGCTTGCCTGAACGGTGAAGATGTACTGCATTCGAAAATATGCTTTTATTTTTGAACTTTTAATTCGTATTAAAAGCAATACATGTTCATCTTTGAATGGTGTATTTACTTGCATAAGGTAGTCTGGACGACGACCAAAATCATCTAGACGACCCCAACCGGTCACCGTGCAATCTGTTCTCGGTCAGTCATTCTTGCCAGGCAAACAAATTGGGCGGACTGCACTGTTTATCTGGGCTGGTCGGTCCAGCAGGAGCAAGGCCACATCATTTGCGAACATAACGGGATCGTCGTACTTCGGGTGTCGATAAATCTGTCGCACTTTTAAGTCTTGCACCCACTTATTCAGCTTGGTTCGGTGGTGTGCACCTGCTCTAAATGACAAATAATTACGGTAAATAATATATATTTATTTATTTTTTCACAAGTTTCATATCAATCTCTACCGAGAAAACATCATCGCTTTCCTTTACCGTTTTAGTGCATGAAAGGGAAAAATAACGAATGTTAATGATTTCGATTGCGAAAACCCTGACGGTTGTACACGACAACGTATGCATTTCAGTCCATTGTTGATGGGGCAACCATGAATTCTTTTATAGTGCACAGTTCTGAACTTCACAGTTTCACTAACTTGGCAAAACACTACATGTCCTTTCGTTTACATTTAGAGAATAAGAGTTTTCTACGAGCCAAAGAAAATGTTGGATCGAACGAATGTTAAATATCACTTGTTACAGCATTCGACATATAACTTTTCTAACCTTACTATAACATCTTTTTCAATCAAATGGTCCAAACAGTGGCTTGCAGTGATGATCCAAACTTCACTCAATAACGTTCCTCCGCAGAAAGGCTCACGCGAATCAGAGGTCATGAGCATGACCTGCCAAGGCCAAGAATGAGGAGCAGCTTGGTAGCCTCCGACTATACGAGAACGCGTGCGAACACCACAGCTATCTTGAAACGAAAAATACATTATCTGAAATACATTTGATTTATTATCTCATGGGTGGGCTAAAACTATTTTCGATGCCAAAGTCTCTCGCTGTCCGTCTCCATTTTTCCTTAAACTCCAGTAGGAAAACATAACTGTAAACCTTTGTTGAAGATTCATGACAGGACGGATAATGCATGCACTGTAAGTACCTCCCGTTGTTCCATACAAAGCCTTAGAAAAGTTTTCTAAGGCTTTGTATGGGAACAACACTTTGAATCTACTGAGTTCTGTGTTATTACGGTCTTACAAAGACAGGAACATGTTTTCCGTCCTGTCATGTAAGGGCAAATATTACATCGTGAAAAAAGTGTAAGATTTCAGCTAAAGAAATTGGATAAAATTTAAATCAAAGCTCAGTGGCACCCTCCTTTTCGGTGTTTCCGCTCAAGACCGGAAACTTCTATGTTAATGTTAACTACAGAAAAAAAAATACTCCGACCCTTCTTTATAACAATTTAATCACTTTATCAAAAATCTTCTATGAAAACGTATCGTAAACCTAATCTTATTACTGACAAAAGTACACGGGAACTTACCTACAACAAAGAATCCACAGACGACGATAACTAGAAAAAGTTTTAGATGCTTGGAAAGGAAGAAGCCCACCTTGGGAAAAGCTCTACCACATATTTCATTGTTGACATCCATTGCAGACAGTGTTTAAAAAGCGTGGCGACCAGCGTATCTGTAGTAGCACCTACAAAAAAAAAGAAACTATAGGGTAAAAATAGTGTACACCTACACTAATCTAATACACTAATACACTAATCGCGTACACCTACAGTGCACGCGATTAAATATTGATTTTCTCCCGAAATTCTAGAAAAGGGCCCATCAATCATCATTTAATGAATGATAACATCCTATTCCCGACATCACCACAGCAGGATGGATTTTAACATTTGAGGAGTATTTTATTTACATGTATTAATAACCAACAACATTCCCCTTCCCACAGAGTTCCAACTCTCCCTCCCCTCAACAGTCATCGTATTTGTGTTGCAAAAAAACTTATAATAATATTGAAGACAAATTTTCACAATCTCTCTAGACATGAAGAAATCATTCGGTGAGCCTCTTGGTTTTGCTGTGAGTCTTTTGATATTGCCGTGGGCTTTTTGGTTTTGCCGTGAGGTGCGATCGGGATATAACATGTTTTATATTATAGTGCGTGGGCAAGAAGCTAGACTTGCTCTCGGCTGCGTCTCGAGCAACTCTCACGCTTCTTTCTTGCTCTCCAAACTTCCCACGTGCATCCATAACTCGATATACGCACGCTAAACATGGACCAAATTCTTCTAAGTTAGTGGGTAAATTCTCTGAGCTTGTTTAATTCCCAACATGGAGAATGGTGGGTTTACGTTCGCGTGAAAATTTCCAACTGCCAGGCATTTAGACTATTTGACACCGTGCCCAACTGCCGGGCATTTAGGCTGCGTATACACTTGGTGCCCGAGCATTAGTGTCAGGGCACTGGCACAAAATGGTGCTCAGGCACGTGCACGGTGCCCAAATTCTGGGGCAGGCACATGAAAACCAAGCTGTGTTCACATTGGAAGCCATCAAGAATAGTAATCGGGCACCGTGGTGGAGCACCAAGAGTGAGCGCAGCCTCATATTTAAAACCGAGTCCGGCTACTGGGCTTTTAGCGAAATAAATTGGACTCACCTCAGCTTGTTATCTTGAGTTCATTTGTGTACTTAAATTTGGAAACTTAACGAATAAATATTTGGGGCGCATTCAATTTTTAGATTCCGAAAAAAATCGAGAACGGTACGATGATCGTGACGAAATAACATCATGCAACCACAGTGAAAACATTGAGAATGGAAGGCCCCACGGCGAATAATTCTAATTTCTAATATGGATCTTAACGCCCTCACATTTGCCGTGCCAAAAGTAATTCATTTATTCGATCCACCATCTTTCGACTGAAATTGCACTCCCAATTAAAAAGAAGATAAGAAGGCTGAAAAATAAACGAGGCTTCTTTTTGCAATTTCTCTCTGTTCTTCTGTGAGGTTCATATCTTCACTACATCTAACTATCATCAAGTATTAGAAAAATACCTCCACGGAAATGGATAATACAATAATACAATAACACAATAGTGCGTGATAAACCTTAAACTAATTACAAACTTGAGTAAAAAGGAGACCATATATAATTTTCTTAGCAGGAAAATAGCTCAGCATGTGCGTTTTAAAAGTTTACTAGTTTCTTTACCGACCTGTGGTATAACCTGAATAGTTCTAGATAACCCTGTTCAGTTAGTGTTATCGCCCGATTATCTAGAAGCAGGTGTGCAAAGTTTGTTTAAACCTGGTTTTTCCGGCTTCTTCTCTTTTCTGAATTAAATATATTTTGAGATTCTGCTTTAAATTTCTATCGGGCTTTTTATTAGTATTTCGTCACGTGATTAATTCAGGGTGTATTGCAGCTGCATGACTAAAAACTGATTCAAACTTATCTATTACATCATGGCAAGAAATAGACAAATCCTCACACTCCTTTAAGTAGGAGAGCGTTTTTTGTTTATTTATGGGCAAGAGATACATGAAAGGGATGTCAATCTATAAGATGTGCGCTTGCAATTAGAGAGTTTAAGATGTTACTACAGCGACGTGTGGTCTGTAGGCGCAGCGTCGTCATTTCGGCATAACATGTGAATGTATTGATGAGTTCAAAGTAAAACCTTATTTAATTGCTGTCGAGGTTTCATTGCGAAGAGGACGTAGTTGGTGCGTCAACGTTTTAGTTCTGTATAGGACGGCTAGGAAATGTAGGAAGATTTAAAACACACGTGCGTCGCTATTTTTTTGCTTATTTAATCTTTTGTAACATGAACGCGAACCGGCTGAAAGGGGTTAGCGTACCCGGCAGACCTGGCTGCCTATCTTTTAAAAGTTTCAAGTTCTGATTTCCTTGCCGACCTCTGGGAAATAACATCACGCAATCAGAGTAAAAACATTGAGAACAGCATGGTGATCGGGATAAACCTTGAACTAAGTATAAAATTTAATAAAAATCTGATTACTTCTGCGGCGGCATCGAGCCTGCTAGGAAATAATTTTCTAGGAAGGACAATAGCTTAGTGCGCGCGTTTTAAAAGGTCTTCTAGTTTCCTTGCCGACCTCTGATTACAAACTTGAATAATGAGCTGATCATTGCTGTGGCAGCATCGAGACTGCTAGGAAATAATTTTCTAAGCAGGAAAATACGCGCATTTTAACAGTTTTCTTGTTTCCTTGCCGTCCTCTGGGAAATAACATTATGTAATCAGAATAAAAACATTGAGAACGGTACGCGGTAATTGGGACGAACCTTTAACTAAGTATAAACTGGAATAACAATCTGATCACTTCTGCGGCGGCATTTTAAATGGTTTTCTAGTTTCCTTGCCAACCTCTGGGAAATAACATCGTGCAACCACGGTGAAAACATTGAGAATGGTTG